TGTTTAAAATATCTTTTAGATATTGAAAATCTCTCGCGTTTTTTATAGTCGATTTTGAAAGCAATGATAAAAACTAATGTCAATTAAGAAGAGGTGGCGAAAAATAAAATGAAGATAATAATAAATATTTTGAAAAAAATTAAAGATCATGACTTTAACAACAAAAGTTATAGTGAAGACCTTTATGAAGAATTTATAAAAGATTTAATAAAAAAAATATAATAAGATGAAGAAATAGTCGATTTGTTAAAATTTTTAGTTCAACTCACAAGTGTCGATGAATCATTTATTTAATGTGGATCAAATGGAATTAATTTATTAGTAAAGATGAGGGTTAATCTTGCCGACCAAAACTTTTAAGGCATTCGGATCAAGAAAAGTAATTTGATTGGTGGAAATTTTGCAAGATGTAATTTTAGTGGATCCGAATTTGAAAATGTTGATATCAGTGGAGTGAATCTAAATGGAGCTCTATTGTTAAATTGTAAGTGGAAGAATATTAAAATACACGAACTTAATAAATTAAATGGTCATTCGAGTATTGTCCGCTCGATATGCTTCTCACTCGATGGAACTACTTTAGCATCAGGTAGCCATGATAACTCAATTCGTTTATGGAATGTTAAGACAGGAAAATAAAAAGCCAAATTAGATGGTCATACTCATTATGTCTACTCAGTATGTTTCTCACCAGATGGAACTACTTTAGCATCAGGTAGTTATGATTACTCAATTCGTTTATGGGATGTTAAGGCAGGATTTTAAAAAGCCTAATTAGATGGTCATAGGGGTTATGTGAATTCTGTATGCTGTTCACCAGATGGAACTACCTTAGCTTCGGGTAGTGATGATAAGTAAATCCATTTATGGAACCCCAAACCCAACCCCAACCCGAACCCCAACCCCAAACCCTATAAAAATAAGAAAATCTAATTTAATATGTATCAAGAGTACAAATATTATTTAATATATAAAATAAAATCTTATATTTTCAAATAAATTAGTTAATGTCAAATTTTAATAACTATTAATTATATATTTATAATAAATAAGTTAAGGTAAAGTTAAGCCTTTTTTTAAAAAAAATAGTAGAAAACTTTTGATTCATTAAAATTATGTTACATAATCGAAAATAATATGGAAGTAAAGCAATAAAAAATTTAGTATTATGTCAATATTTACTTGAAAGTATTTAGATATAATCTTTATATTTATAAATGATAATTGTACAGTTCCAGCCTAATACTTAAATTTAAAATTGAACTTTTGAATGTTTCTGCAAAAGAAAAATAATTTAAGTTAGATAAATTTTTAATAAAGTCTTATCAATATCAATAGCTTATTTTAACAATCAAGCTTTAAGCATAAAAAGTTAAATGAAAAAAAATATTGAAAATCTACATCGCAAAAAAAAATCAATTTTTAATTAAAAAGTAAATTCTAACAGTCTTTCAATACTACACCATTATACTTCTTTAGAAGAATTTATTTCGAAAAATAGACTATTCTAATATAAACTAAAAAAATAGCCTGTTTTTACATTTTATTTATATTTATTAAGTTATACTTAATATGATGATAAAAATTTTTTAATAATTGATAGGTAATAAACAAAGTAACGTCATTATGCTTAATATATATTGAATTTAATATCTTTGTCCAATTTCTTATTTTTGCAATTTCTCTTTATTATAAGATAAGGCTTCTTCAACTAAATTTTTATTGTGTGTTTCTTTAGTTAAATTTTAATTATTGTTAAAAAACATATATTCATAAAATTCATACATGTTGTAAATCTTTTTTGAGCCTCATTTATATTTAATAAAAAAATTTTTTTAAATCACTATGAATTGGTTCTTAATATTCCTATTCAAAAAATTTATTATCAAATGCTTCATCATTCATTAAACATTCATAATCAATATGATCCTTTTGATTATTTAGCTTAATTTTTTGTTTCCATAACTCTTTTACTGAGTTTTTAATTTTCATTTCTTTCATGTTCAGTACATAATTCCTTTCTTTTTTTTCGTTAGCATTATTATTTTGTTATTATAATCCAACCTGCTGATATGTCAATATTAATATTAAAGTTATTATTTTTTTTTTTAAATATTTAATTTTCCAAATTCTTTTTCAATTTAAAGTAAAAAAAATCAATTACACACTATTTAGGAAAGCCCTCTACTAAAATTTTCCATCTATTTTATATTGGATGAATAGAATAATATTAAAGATTTATTAAATATAAAAATATTCTTTATTAATTCCTTCATAATGATATAATCAGAAAATCAGTTCTTTTAAATTTATTTATACAAAAGATATCCAATTATAATTTGCTATTATTATTGCTATTAATAAAATAATCATATAATAGCTACAATTTGTATTAATTTTAATGTTAATCTTAAGTTAAAGATTCAGTTTCAGAATCAGAGTTTAATTCAAATTATTAACATAAGAAATCATTTCATAAGAAGAATGAAATTCTTAATTTTTTAGACTAAAAATCAATTTCGTTAAAAAAGCTAAATTAAATTTATCCTTTTTAAGAATAGATACTACTTTTTTTCGAAATTCATACAATTATTTGTCGCCTACGGCATTATTAATTGTTTAACAATCTTTCTATAAATTTTTTTGAAGCAAAGCAAATGCCAATAATTAGATTAATAATTTTAAAAAAGGGTCACCTCTAAATATACCACATCCATCTTCTTGTTGGAAATCTTGGTGCATTTTTTAAAGCTACTTCAAACCCAAAATAACATTTTAACAATTCACGATTCATATTTTACTCTAAAAATTGATTATCAAATTATGAGAAATGTTTAGAATCAATTGCCTAATATTAGAAAAATATATACTAATAAATTATAGAAGGAACGAACATTAATTTCCTAAGGCACAAATTTAAAAGAATGTTCATATCCTTTATAATGGTTTTACTTGATAAGATCTTATATCAAGACAGCTTGATTTTATCTCATAGGTGGGACAAATAACATACAAACTAAGGCTTCGGGAAATATAAGCATAAGAATCTAAACTAGTTTATAAACTTTACTTCTTCTTAAGTACAATTAAAATCATCGAAGATTATTTACTTGTAGAAAACAAGTCTTTAATGAAGATATAGTAAATAATAAAAATTTATAGGGTTCTTCAAAATCTGGAACATTAGTTTGTTTTTATACCAACTAATTCATTGAAAATTATGAATAAACTGAGGATAAATAGATTATTTTTATTTTCTTATGTTATTATAAAAATAAAATATTAAGTAAGAACTATTTGATTAATCTAATATAATTTTGTTTAAATATAATAAGGTAAACAATATTTCTGTTTTTGTTACAAATTATCGGCTCTAGATAAAACAAAAAATTAAGGCATAAAATCCATTGATAAATTAAATTAGCATAACTAGTTAAAAAGTATTTCATGAATATTTTGTAAATAATATATTCGATCAAATAAATTCATTTAAGTTCTAACATTGCATTAAATATCCAACAAATTGTCCGAATAAATCTTCCTTGTAACCAGCTCAAATGTATTTTTATCAAATAAGCATAATTATTCAGGTTCTCCTTTCGATAAGTTGAAATTTTACGATAAACATATAAATCATTTACACATAATATTAATTTTATGCTTACAATATAATTAATATAATTGAATTGAATAACTCTTATTGATTTATTTTATTCACTAATTAACTCTATAAAGAAATTCAATTACTTTTAAGAGTAAAACCCAAGATTATTTATTGATTTGATAAAGCACACTCATTTTCTAAACATATGAGATGGATTAGGAAGAAGATTATTAAAATGTTAATTAATATTTGTATAGAGAAAGGTTGTCTTTACATTTTTTAGTATAATTTATATTAAGTTGTAACAAATTTTATAGAAAATAATAGGATATAAATTAATGTTAATTAACCTTAGCATTTTGTATTTTTATAATATTTATTTAACCAAAATGTTATTTGTGTGAGACTAAACCATTTTATTAAAAAGAATGTGCTACCATTTTTGCATCTCTTCCTACATGGATCAAATTTAATTATTTATTTTAATAATTAGTAAATTTATATTATTATTTTTTTTATTTTCAAAAATCGTCTACATACAATTCTTTTCCACCAACCTTTCTCCCATTTTTATAATAGACTATCCAATCTTTCTCTTTCCATCTCCCTTCTTTGATAGAATCTCCTTTTACTTTATCATCATAAAATCCTCCACCTCTAAAATAAAAGGTATTATAATTACATCTATATTCCATTTTCATAAATATCCCAATAACTACATTTTTTACCATATTAATTATATTGACCACTCAAAGTGGACCCTTCAATAAATTCAGTCCATTTTCCAATCTTTGTTGAATTATGACAAATTCCGCCACCCCTAAAAATTATTAAGTTTATATATATATTTACACCAACTTCTAATAATGATATATATTCCAACAACCAACTTTCTTCCCATTCTTATACTCACCTTGACAAGTTAATTACAAAGATGAAAAATTTTCAAATAATTCAATCCACTTTCCATTTTATTAACCATAATTATTGTATAATCCACCACCACTTAATAGAATAATTTTTATAAATACATTTTCATATTATATTAGGTTTATTTCCAAAACCCTATTCTCATTTCATTATAATATTCACCACTATAATAAACACTATCTAAATAAATAAAAGGAAATCACCCTTTAAAATCTTCAAACAATTCTCCCCATCGGCCTTGCTTTAATCCATTATTCAAATAATATCCTCCAACATTTGATAATTTTTTTCCCTTCCAACTTACGCTAAACTTAGCAAACTTTTGATTTTTTTTTCCATATTCTACTTCCCATTTAAGATTTTTAATTTATTCTAAATTAGTCAAAATTTAATGGCTCAAAGGTATGTCTTCTAAAGCATCACTATTTTTTTTTAAATAAATACATTCTTATAATCGATTAATCCTTTGCTAAGTATTAAATTTGCTTTTCTTCTGTAATTTTTATTTAAATTTATATCCATTCTTCTTACTTAGGTACCCAAACATTACATATAAAATCCTAGAAGTTGTATTCTAATCTTTACCTTTGCTGAAATTTATTAAATCCTCTCTTCATTATTTATCATCCCTTCATTATTTATTGTCATTCCCTAAATTTAGTTTTTAAGAGTCTTTGAACAAATTATTCCCATTTATATGATTTATAATTTAAATTTAATTTTTTTTATTAATTTAAGTCAGACAAAATTTTTTTTGATTTAATTTTATCATAATTATTATAACTTAAATAAAACATGTTGATCATTTCTTAATAAATTTTTCATTATGGGAAACTAAATTTGAGCTTTTTAATTAATAATAAGAAAAATTACCAATGAATTTTCTAAGTTAATAATTCTTAAGTTGTAAAATTTTTGAATTTATCGCTATTTCGATAATATTAAATTTCAGATTGATAGGATGCAAATTAAAACTAGCTCTAATAATATAAATATACGCTTTATGTCTTAATACTATCAAATTCATCTCATGATTGTAAATTATTGGGAAACGATATTCATCATTTACCTAATTATTTTTAATTAATTGTATTTCTCTCTCCAAAATTTCTGAAAAGGTTTCTTTTTTAACTCAAATACAAAGAGTTTATCCCTTTTTTTACTTCCAGTTATCCAGATAAATTGATCATTATTTAAAATATTTTTAATAATGTAAACCTATGATAATTGAGCTTCTTTAGAAAATTTGGTTGAAATTCATAAATTATTTACTTAGTCTAATAAAAAGCTAGTGAATATTGAATAGGAAATATCAATATTATTACTTGGATTCCAAATAATTATAAATAAATCTCAGTATAAAAAAGCCTTTTAGTTTAGTTTTCTTGCTCATTTAAGAACAGATAATTGTTTTGATCAACAGAGCCAAAAATAAAGCTATTAAACATTTAAAATCTTTCTTATGCACTTAAAAGTGTTTTATAATTTTAACGTTCCTAAAGCACAATTCCATAATTTTATATCTCCATTACCTGTTGAAACTATAATTGAAGCTTTTTATAGAATAAAATTACCAAACATTATCTAACTTTATTTTTTAAATACTCTATTGACTTAAATTCAACTAATTAATCATACAATTCAATTGACTCATTTTAGAACAAAAATTATTTATTTGTCAAATTATACATTATATGAAATTTCAATTTATTTAATGCTTAAACTTGTTTTAATCCCAAATTAATAATTTTTTTTTTCTATTTCTTTTAATAATTAGATATATATTTCGCTTTCTTTTAAAATACTAAAAAAGCACAACTCTTTCTTAATTTTTGATACCATGAATAATTTATCATTAATATTTACATGATTAAATAGTTTATATTAATATTATTTAATTCCCCTAATTCTTCAAAAAAACTATAAATCATTTATCCATTCTGATGAATTTGTAATTAATTTGTCAATTATTTAAATTATATGAGACCTTAATTGAATGAAAGTATTATGAAGGCATTTGACATTCAGTATTATTTCACTTTCTAACAAAATATTTCCTGTTATCTTAGTTTTGCTCTATTTCTTCGAGAACTTTTTTATCCATCATCATATTAAAGTCACATTAGTATTTTCCATGCATTTTCTACATAAAAGTCTTTGTTTAGTATCAAAATTTTTATCACTAATAACCAAAGATTATGATTCTATTAGCATCAAAGATCATAATCTTCTTCTATCATTCTAGGCGTTATTTAAAGTAAAAAATTTATACCATTTACCAACGTTTTTCTCGCTTCCTTTTCAATCATATTATCTACAGCCACTAAAACCCAAATCTTATATTCATTGAGTTTTTACATTTATTAATTTCTATAGTTATTGAATAATATGTCCCATATATTACCTTTGTGCCCTTTTTATTATATTCACTATTTGATGAAGTAAATCTAGTAAACCACTTTATCTAACTCGATCCATTTACCTGACTTCTTACATTTATTTTTATAGAAACCACCATCTCTAAATAATTATAAAATTAAAAGCATAATCTTCTTTTTGTAAAAATATTTCCATTTTCCTATTTTAAAATCATTCAAGTATTCTCCTATATAAATAATTGATGCTAATTATTCATTATAAATGTTTCTCTCCAGATAAAACTCTATTAGCATCAGGTAATGCTGATAAGTCAATCCATTTATGGGATGTTAAGACTGGATAATAAAAAGCCAAATTAGATGGTCATAGTGATTATGTCCGATCAGTATGCTTCTCACCAGATGGAACTACTTTAGCATCAGGTAGTGTTGATAAGTCAATCCGTTTATGGGATGTGAAAACAGAATAATAAATTTAACTTACAGAAAAAAAATATCAAGATTTTCTTGCATAGTTTAAGTTTCCTTATCCATTTCCAAAAGGTATTTTTCATCATTTTATTTTTAGTAACTTCTCTTATCAATATTCTTTTTATATCTTAATAAGCCATATTTTAAGCAAAGGGTGCTCTTATTCTTTAAGGACAATTTGAAGATCAATCAGGAATCAATTTAAAATTATTATTTAAATAAAAAGGGAGTTATATTTTGGAAAATAATTTTAAATAAGAAGTTGAAGATACTGAGGAAGATGAAGAAGATGGGAAGGATTGGTTCTGATTAAAAAAGTAAAAATATTTCTTATTACAATACTTTTTTTTTATTTTTTAATAAATTTTTAAATAATAGAATAATTATAATATGATAAAGATTCTTGTTCATTTTAATATAATATTTTATAATGGTAACATAATTTCTTCTTTATAGAGCAAAATCGGTTTTCAAATCACCTATTTACCATTTTTTCTACAAACTTTCATTTCAAAATAAAGGATTAATTTCTAAAAAAAAAAAAAGGAAAATCAATTTTTCAAATTTACCCCCCCTAAGACATGAGATTGTAATTATGAATTTTAAAGGTGACTTGAAAAAAGGCACTCTGTATCATCTAAAGAAAAGTGAAATATACATAATGAAAATTCAATTTCATGGGAGTGATTATTGTGAAGTTGTCATTTCCATGAATGAAAAGATTCAATTGCATTTTCCTGTTAAAAGAGTGGCTAAATCTGTTTAATTAAACTCATGCATTCCTTAAATAAGAGATCTAGAACCTTATCGAAGAGAAGGAACTACATTCATAATCAGATTAAGTTTGGTAAAATTAAAAAGGGAAATTAATAATTCAGACTGAAGACATGTATTAGTAATGATTTAAACAATTTTAGATCATATTCTAATTAACGAATCTACCAATATATATTGTTCCTTGAATTAAATAATCAATAATGAGATAATAAATAGTTAAAATAATCTTAAGTTCATTATCTTTATTTATTTAGGAATTTATTTAAATTAACATTATTTACATCTGACATAACAAAAAATTATCTTAATAATTTTATATAATAATAGTTATTATTATTCTCCTTACATATTAATTAAATCATTAAATTTATTTTAATTACTCATATTAATTTAGATTATTAATTTATCATCTTTCGTAATTTTTATGCTATTTATTATTTCCTAAGCGGAACTTTTTAATTTTTTTGGGTTAAATACAAATTTGAACGATAACAAGTTTTAGGAGAAGAAGGCAAATTAGAAATCTTAATTTTGAATATTCTTAAAGAATATAAATTAAGTACTTTTGATTTACATTTTTTAAGCCTCCCTAATAATTATTAATTGTAATACTTACTGATAAATATTCATTAGGCTAATTCTAAAAGGACTGCTGCATTGCCATATCCTTCTATGTTACATCTTAAATATTAATATCTGTACCTCTTGACTAAAGCATTGACAATCTCTTGACAACCACATAAGGCAGCATATCAAAAAAAGTTTTTCCATCTGATAATTGTGTATATATTTGCTTTCAGGAATTAATTAAATATTATCTGTAAACCAAGCCGATTAGAAAGTTTTACCTCCTTAAAATTATCACCAAAAATAATTAACTTAATTAATTATTTTGTATCTAATTTTTATATAGTTCAGATTCTTATATAATTGTTCTCATTATTAATAAATTCATATACATACTTAAAGTATTCTAAAATTTTATTATATAAAAAATATTTTGCTCTATCAGCTGGTAATTAAGGTTCATTGAAGACGTACCAGTAACTATTCAAAAGCTACTTCAATATTTGTGTTGTTTATTTCCATCAAAATAAGGAACTTTAACATTCAGATACTTTGGGCCTTCAAAGTAAGCATGTTTTTTACTTTAGAGATATCTTTCTTCATTGTAAAAACACATAACACTTAATTTAATTGATCAGGAAGGTTTAAATTTAATCGATAGTATGATTCATCTTTTTTATTGCTACTGATAATAATTATCATTTGTAAAGTGAAGAAATATATTACTAATCGTTTAACAATTAATTAAAAACTCAAGAGAAAGAAAATATCCAGCTAAATCATAATCTAATTAATTATCTGAAATAATCTCTTTGAATTATTCATGAAACAATTAATATTCAATTTTTTTTAATATAGGATAAATGTCTCCCATACCTTTAATAGCTTAGTAAATCTGATCCATAGGATTCTATGAAATCACTAAAAAGGCCCATTATTTTACTCCTATTTCAAGTTTAGTCATCTTTCCAACACACAATCGTATTTCTCCTTTAATTTATTATTAGTCTATTATATTTCTAAACTAAATCCTTCTTTATCTTCATCACATAATTATATTAATTGAATATTTGACATTCCAGTTAAATTTTACAACAATCCCCAATAATTCTACTACTTGGCTCTATAAGTGTTCTTATATTAATTAATTATAACACTGAATAAATGAGTAGAAATAACTGAATTCTTAATAATAATTGCAACAGGAGTAGTATCATTTTATACATTATGTTGCCAGTATTTTGCACATAAATATGTATCAAAACATTCTTGAGTCGGAATTAGTACAAAATAAATACTTAATGTTTTCTTCTGTTCCTTAAATCAAGTAGTTAAGTATTTCTTAATGTTATTCGTTTGAGAATAAGTTAATTAGAAATAATATCTTAGAAAAGAATCATTTGTCTATTTCTTAACTGCTTGTACCCTATTTACCAATTCAGTGTATGTGTTTTTTTTGTTACGATAAAACTTAAATTTTAAAAGGATTTATCATCATTTAAATTTTATAAATATATTAAATGTATTTCATTTTTCAAATCAGATAGCTTGAAAAGCACAATTCTCTAACACTTGATCATATATATTATTAATTAATATTATTTTCTAATAGAATCAAACAATAAAAGCTTGCTTATTATTTAAGATGAATATTTCTTATTTTTCGAAACTGCAAATGAAAGGCTATTATTTGAGAAAAATACACTTAGAATTGCACAAATATCATAAAACAATCAAATTTCATATCTTATAAATTCATCTTATAGTAATTATTTTTGCTTTAAACATCATTTTAGATTAATATTCAGCTTACACAGATGCTCTATATTAGATACTTAGCATTATATATTTTTTCTAGAATATAAATATATAAAGTATGGTTTATTGAGTATTTCTTTGAATGAGGTATGGCTATAAAATTTATATAATAAAATGTATTGGTTTAACATCTATTTAAATTAAAATACGCAATATTTACAATGATATCTAATAAATGAATCGACACAATAATAATTTATTACAACATATACTGCTGAGTTTTTTTTAATATATATTCAAATTTATCATAATAGTTAATAGTTTATAGCACTTTTATTTTATTTTAAAATTCTAAATTATATTTATTAAAGTTACTATGATAAAGTATACTAATTTTTATAAATAAAGATTTAAAAATTAATATTATAAAATTTATTTATCAATAATAAGACAAAACGCATTTTTAAAGGATTTTAAATTTTCTATGTAATAGTTTCTAATAATTGAAATGGATAGACAATAATAATCAAATAATATTTTAAAAGGAAAAATAGCTTTCTTATTGTGTAATCTAGCAAAAAAAAGTAAATGTTTATGTGATAAAATTTATGTCATAGGTATAATAGCATCTATTACATTTTAAATAAAGCTTTCCAAAAAAGGATTAAAAAAATAAAATATTACTTAATAATTGAACCCTAAGCATAAGCCTATTATAATTAAGTGTATGATGATTCTCTTATTTCCTTCTAATAGATTTACACATTAATTTGGAATAATAACAATACTTTATAAATTAAAATTATACCTATAACTTAGATGAAAAAATCTATGAATGGCTTGAATGTTATTAAAATATAAAGGATCTATTCCATTTAACCAAATTAGGTAGGCAAATTAAATAATAAGGATAATTTTAGTAATTTCATGTATTAGATTAAAAAAATTCAAATTTTCCAAACATTTCAAATATCTAAAATACCCCATAAAAACTAAAATCCTCCTAATACAAGAAATTATCTAAATACCATTAATATACTTAATCTAATTTATTAAAACATCAATACTTAGCATGTAATTCCATCCATTCAGAAAAAATTGAATTCCCTAATATATAGTTATTTAACTAAACCTCCATTCACTCGCTGTTAATTGTAGTAGGGTATATAATTTATTCGAATCTATAGTATTAAAGGTAATAAAAGTTTATTGATATATATTTTAAAAGTGAATTTTTAGAATTTATAAAAATTGAATCTTTCATTAAAGAATCTATAAAGTTTAATTATTATTAATCATAAAAACTATTTTAATTTATGATTAGATAGACAAATTAATGAAGAGATATCAATAACAAAGGATAATGAAGTGTTCAAAAAAATCTGTTATAAACTATTAAATTCTCAATAATTTTTTAAGGTATTTCTTGTTCATTATATAAACTTACCTGAAAAGATTTATAAACCATAATTCTCTTAATCAAAGACAATCTGACTATAAGTAAGAAAATAATTAAGGGTAAACCAAATTAAGATCTTCTTAATCTAGTAGATCAATTTTATATCATTTTTATAAATTATTACTGTTAAAAGTAATAATAAAGATATGTCTTAATAACTATATGAGGATCTCAAAATAAAAGATTCAATCTCAACTCATAATAAAAACTTACAAGACATAAATAAGCAGTTTAATTAAATGATGGAGTTTAGAAATGAAAAAATAATTTCAAAGACATAATAAGAGGTAAGTAGTATCAATAATTAGGAAGTTTAAATTATGAATAAGAACAATATGTTAATGTTTTAGAATTTCTTAATAGATTAAATCAAATAGTATGAATTTTGTTAAGAAAAATGTAGTCAATGCCACTAGTTATGCAAGCAATTCAAAAATCATATTGAAATATCTGAGAAATTGAAGAAATAGTTAGATAATCAAATGAAAAGTTTAGAAGATCAACTAAAGAATTTGAAAATAACAAATGAAGAACAAGAAAAATAATAAAGAACAAAAATAAGTTAATTAGATATAGAAATTGACAAAGCTCAAAATAAATTGGAGCTGTTCATCATCTAAAAAGATGCAAATGAGATTAGAGACAAATAAGCAAAGATTGCAATGATGAATTATAAATTTTATGATACAAAAGATGAATGTTTAAAGTTATCCTTGTTTGGAATTGATTAAGATAATATAGAATAACCTTAAACTGATATTCAAGTAATAATAATACAACTAATTCCAGAACTTCAAAGTAAGAAAGAATCAGATATGGAAATCATTAATTAACAAAAAGTTAAAATACAAGATTATGATAGAGAATATCAAAGTAAGGAATAATCTCTTAGTTAAATTAAAATTACTTAAAATAAATACTAAGAATAAATAAAGCGACTTGATGAATAATAAGAAGAAAAAATTGCAAATTTGGAAATAATTCAATCTCGAATAAATGAAATAGACATTCCTAACAATGAAAATGATGTATCAGCATCATAAATTTATATTAAATAAGAATCTTAAAAAATTTAGGAAATTTCAAAAAAAATCAAAGAATAATAGCAAATAGAATAAGAAAAAATTCTAGAATTTTAGGAATTATAATTATTGTAATAAAAAGATATAAATTTGTATTTTGATAAGTTAAATAAAGAGATAGAAGAATGTGAATTATAAACAAATTAATTAGATGAAAAACAAATAAAAAATTGAATTTGCTAAAATTTTACATTTAAGAAATTGATAATGACAGAAATATAAAAATAATAAATTTATTCTTAATAAGAAAGAAAGAGTGATTGGTAGATATTTAGATATCATATAAACAATATTTGAATGAATATTTAACATGACTTAACTTTAGAATACAAAAAGAAGGAACAATATTGAAATAAATGATATTTAAAATAAAAAACAAGAGTTAGAGAAAAATTAAAATGAAAAAAGCTCAGAACTCAATATTTTAGCAAAGTCTAGAAGATATATGAAAATATAAAAAGAAATTGATTGTAGAAAATAATCGACTTTAATAAAATAATCATTAAATTGATTAAATAATTAGATTAAATAATAGAATTTTCTCTATATTTTAATGAATATAGAGTATAAAGTTAAATTTTCAGAGAAAAAGAAAGCTAATTGGAAAGGTTGGGATAATCTGAATTACTTATTAATCTAAAATAATACTAAATTTAAATTCAAATAGAAAAATTTCAATAGGATATCAATAAATTTAGAGATGAAAACAATAAATAATGAATCAACTCAAAATTTTTTAATAACTCGAAAGAATTGAGTAAAATTCGAAGAATTTAAAAGATATTTGTTGAATTAGAATTGAATGTACACCGAAAGCTCTAGCTAAAAAAAATATTTTTAATTAAGAACTTGATATTAGTTTTGCTGTTTTATCATACATTGATTATAGTTCTGTTTATTAAAATTCTGAATAAATTCTAAGAATATAGGATTTCACTTCAGAAGATGTTATCATTTAATTTTTAAATTAATAATAAGTAAAAGGTGGATGATATTCCAATGGCCTTAATGCTTCAATAACCTTAAATTGGAATCAAAATTATGAGTAATTGCTCCATTTGATAGCTGATGTTCCTCCTCATGGAAATAGATATCAAAGTTTTAAAGATAATTATCCTGAAAGTTATCCCTGTGGATTAAAATAAGAAAATATTTACAATAATTACAAGATTTGAAAATTAAGTTGAAAATTTTTAAATTATATCAGGATATAGACATGATGATCACTGAATTTAAAAAGGATTTTAAAGATTTCGTAGTATTTTCTCCTTACAAAAAATGAAGATGATTTTAAAAACAATATCGTTAGTTATGTATGCTAATGTTTACATCACTATGAGATTACATTTTAGATTAAAATTTATATTTAATGATTTATTCATTAATATTTATTGTAATTCTAATATATGAATTATAACTCTACATTCATTACTAAATTTTGTATTATATCAATAAAATTATTAATCAATCTTGGATTTATTTTTTATATTAAATTCGGAGATCACTTCATTCATTAGGAATAGAAGATTCTTGGAAGGAAATTTCATTGAATTTGTATTTAAATGAAAACATTGAAAGTTCATAATTTAATTACAATCAAATTATTTAATATACATAATTGTCATCTTAGCTTTCATATATCTTATCTTAATAATACTTATTCCATCCATTTAATTAAAGAATTAACAATAATAGTGACTTGTTCCAATGAAAACTTAAAGAATGCATGATATAAATTTAGATCTGTTCGGGGATTGCACATCTCTGAGTTATCATCGTGCCGATGGCTCCCATCTCTTGCCTTCGTAAAGCATTACTGAAGTTTGGAAGGAATATTTTGTACAACCATAAAACACAGTCCCCTAATGGTACACAACTACTCATTCAATAACAGGGAAACCGTGTTGATCCACCAGATCAAGCGAAGGAAGAATTAGAGAAGAAGTTCGACAGTTGAAATAATAGTACTTAATGGAATTTGAAAGGTGTGAAAATCTTGGTTGTCAGAAGGAGAACAAGATTTAATCCAATTCAGAAGACACATTGAGATGTTAGAATTCATCAGATTCTTGAATACATGATGTTAGTTTTGTTGTTCATCTTATTTCGATTTATCATGATCTAGGTATTATTAGGCTATTTATAATCTTTATTTTTATGATAAAAAGTTCAAGTGTTAGTTTTTTTAATAATCATAAAAGTTAGAGGATCAACAAATGAATTTGTTATAATAACATTATTAATAATGAATTACTAATTATTGGTTTGAAACCATCAAATTAGTTAAGTACTGAATTAGATTCTTCTATAATAAAAGCTTATTTAGCTTTATTTATTTCAAATAAATAATTAGATTTCTTTTTTAAATTTTTAAGTATAAATCATTTCCAGCAAATTATCTTCAAATATTAGGATTCAAATTAACATACTATAAAAAGGGTTTTACTTTTTAAATTGTTTTATCAAGATTTATCTAAGACTTCATCAGTCTAATTTATTTTCATGTAAGCCAAACTTAAGTTATTTAAACTTAATTTATTCTCTTAATCATTCTCAAAGGATTTTTAATACATTTCTAGAGGCAGATATGCGTCACATTAGTTTTAATATAGTTTACAATAAGTAAATTATTGTAAAATTTAAATATTAGCTTCAATTCTTTATTGANTTTAAATGAAAACATTGAAAGTTCATAATTTAATTACAATCAAATTATTTAATATACATAATTGTCATCTTAGCTTTCATATATCTTATCTTAATAATACTTATTCCATCCATTTAATTAAAGAATTAACAATAATAGTGACTTGTTCCAATGAAAACTTAAAGAATGCATGATATAAATTTAGATCTGTTCGGGGATTGCACATCTCTGAGTTATCATCGTGCCGATGGCTCCCATCTCTTGCCTTCGTAAAGCATTACTGAAGTTTGGAAGGAATATTTTGTACAACCATAAAACACAGTCCCCTAATGGTACACAACTACTCATTCAATAACAGGGAAACCGTGTTGATCCACCAGATCAAGCGAAGGAAGAATTAGAGAAGAAGTTCGACAGTTGAAATAATAGTACTTAATGGAATTTGAAAGGTGTGAAAATCTTGGTTGTCAGAAGGAGAACAAGATTTAATCCAATTCAGAAGACACATTGAGATGTTAGAATTCATCAGATTCTTGAATACATGATGTTAGTTTTGTTGTTCATCTTATTTCGATTTATCATGATCTAGGTATTATTAGGCTATTTATAATCTTTATTTTTATGATAAAAAGTTCAAGTGTTAGTTTTTTTAATAATCATAAAAGTTAGAGGATCAACAAATGAATTTGTTATAATAACATTATTAATAATGAATTACTAATTATTGGTTTGAAACCATCAAATTAGTTAAGTACTGAATTAGATTCTTCTATAATAAAAGCTTATTTAGCTTTATTTATTTCAAATAAATAATTAGATTTCTTTTTTAAATTTTTAAGTATAAATCATTTCCAGCAAATTATCTTCAAATATTAGGATTCAAATTAACATACTATAAAAAGGGTTTTACTTTTTAAATTGTTTTATCAAGATTTATCTAAGACTTCATCAGTCTAATTTATTTTCATGTAAGCCAAACTTAAGTTATTTAAACTTAATTTATTCTCTTAATCATTCTCAAAGGATTTTTAATACATTTCTAGAGGCAGATATGCGTCACATTAGTTTTAATATAGTTTACAATAAGTAAATTATTGTAAAATTTAAATATTAGCTTCAATTCTTTATTGAATAATATTTTTTTTTTTTGACTTCTTTTGGAAGGTTTCAATGCAAAGCTTCCTCCAAATCAGCTTTTTATGACTTTTAATCTTTTAAAACATTTTATATATTTAATCTATTTTCTCTTCTCGTTTATAATTATTTAACAATCATCAATATATCCTAAGAAATGAAATAAAGTTAAATAGCATGCAGGTCTATTAGCTATACATATAAACATTAATTAATATAAGAAAATAATAGTTTAGTAAATTTTGATTTCAAAGCTTAATTTTATTTGTCATAATTCATTATAATTATTTAAATGATTATACTATACAGTATATTCTTGATCATATAATACTTTTTTAGCATAGCTATAATATAATATTTAATTTATAGTAATAATTTATAAGATATATTTAAAAAGATTTAGATTATTTTAAATAAATATATATTTTAGATAATTAAATTTTTGTTATGAATGCAGTATTAAATGTTGTAGCTGAATTAGGAACAACAAATGATTTTATTAAATTATAACTTAAATTGACTAATGATGTTAGTATATTTTTATTTGATGGTTTAGAAACTGTTCTGATAAAGTGAACATTCTTTGTAATAATTTTGTTTGAGGTTCCGACCATCAAATCGACGAATCTGGCTGACCCTTCTGAATCACTTAAATCAGAATAAGTTATATTTTGAATATCTATGGATACAACTATTTATTGTAGCTTTGATTACAAATCAAGGAGTTCGATTAGGTATCTACAATTAATGTATTGATATATTCACCATTTCCTTATTTGAAAGAAAAATGGCGCTTTGGATTTGTTTGTAATTATTATACTCAAAAGGTAAGGTTTTTTATTATGCATTTTAAGCTGCTACTCAAAATGTAGTTATGAATCCTATTCCTATAATTGAAGTTGTTGGATTTCATACAATATTAACATAATTGGAGTTAAGTTTGTTCCATCTTCCTTTTTACAAATTACTAAATACATAAATTTTTAAATTGCCTGCTGTTATTTTAGGAGATACTGGCAATGTTGATTTAACTAAAGATATGCAAGTCTTTAAAAGAAATTATTTAAATCCAAAATTATTTATGATAGTACTTTAGAAAAAAGATGATGTATATTAAGCACATAAAACTACTAGTTTAAGTAATTTATACCAAGAAAATTCAACTGATATAATAATTTTGGCAAGTTCTTGGAATTATAATCCATAACTTTAAATAAATAACATAATAATCTTTAACTTGATGATTTATTTAATATTAATTATTAAATACGTATAATTATTAAATACATATAATTATTAAAATTCTTTGTAAAATTTAAGTAAAAGTGGTATATCTAATGCTAAATTTTTAATAAATATACTTTTATGTAGATGAAGATGGAGCTGATACAAATTTCTTAAATTGTAATGGTGATTGTTAAGTTTCTTTGAATAGTTTTAGAAGTTACGTTTGTTTAATATGCAAATCTCCTCAATTAATGAATGAAGCAAATTTTCTTATTAATTGTATTCTGTTGCAGATGATTTATCTAATGTTGAAGAAACTGTTAATATATGTTGTAATTTTAAATATAATTCTTGCATAAAAAATGATAATTATAATTCTTTTGGATATTATTTAATCCAACCTGCAGCTTGAGTTTATGTAATAAGTTCAAGTTGTGGAGATAATTATTTTGGCAATCCAACAACTTTAATGTGCAATTATAAAGGAAATGGCAAAAGAGAACTAGGATATGCCTATGATGAAATTATTGCTAGGTTCAAAATTAATTTTTTTTATATTTTGTTTTTGAAATTAATATTTAACTATTATATTAAATATATTTCTTAGTCTAATAATAAAGTTAACAATTTATATAAAACGAAATATTTAATTCATTTACATATAAATGTTGGGGTGGAACTCCATCAACAAAAAACACTTGTAAATTTACTTTTGGTGATGGTATATGAGATACAGGAGAAATTTGTGATATCGCTAATAATAATAATATCGATGGATGTTTTGATGATTGTAATAAAATAGAAGATTATTGTACAAAGGTAGAAGCTCCTATAAATTGTTTTTTAAAATAGTGGAAATGGAAAATTAGAATTAAGTACCTCTGACTTGGAATAATGCGATATTGGAAGCGGCATAAGAGGAGGATGTACTAATTATTAAATTGATAATCGTTATGATTATCTCAATTCTTATTTAGTAAGAAACTTAAACAAATGAAAATTTATTAGCGGCTTATTTAAATTAAAATAAATAAATGAAACCTAAAAGAGTTTAATTGAAATAAATAAACATTTGATTTTCTTAAATTCTATTTATTTCTAAATTTAAATAGATTAAAATTTAGAATTATAGTATTTGTACTTTATAAAGAATCCATATTCAAATTTACCATTTTTTAATAAAATATTTTAAATTATACTTATAGATATATATTCATTTTAACAATTTGATATAAGGAAATTCTATTTAACTCACATTTATTTCAAAATTAAATAAAATCTCTTGGATATAAAAAAATCATTGTGACCAAAAATACTCTAATAAGATATACTTTCAAAAAAAAATTAATTTGATTTAACAAAAATTATCAGCAGTTTCACAGTAAATAAAGTTTTTTTAAATAATCTTGTATATCTTCTATTTTCAACAATTTTAAATAACAAATATGACAGATAATAAATTAGAAAATTATTTCAAAAATAAAAAAGGATTTTAATAAAAAATGAATATAAACTTAATAAATTTTAATTTCTAATATTTGAGGTTACTTAATAAAATTTAAAATAATTTTGTAAAAAATTAGAATTTGTTTCAGAAGTTAATTTTTAAAATTAAAACATATTCATCAATTTCATTGACTTATAATAATTGATGCATTTCCAACTGTTATTCTGAGATTGTNTAAATATATTTCTTAGTCTAATAATAAAGTTAACAATTTATATAAAACGAAATATTTAATTCATTTACATATAAATGTTGGGGTGGAACTCCATCAACAAAAAACACTTGTAAATTTACTTTTGGTGATGGTATATGAGATACAGGAGAAATTTGTGATATCGCTAATAATAATAATATCGATGGATGTTTTGATGATTGTAATAAAATAGAAGATTATTGTACAAAGGTAGAAGCTCCTATAAATTGTTTTTTAAAATAGTGGAAATGGAAAATTAGAATTAAGTACCTCTGACTTGGAATAATGCGATATTGGAAGCGGCATAAGAGGAGGATGTACTAATTATTAAATTGATAATCGTTATGATTATCTCAATTCTTATTTAGTAAGAAACTTAAACAAATGAAAATTTATTAGCGGCTTATTTAAATTAAAATAAATAAATGAAACCTAAAAGAGTTTAATTGAAATAAATAAACATTTGATTTTCTTAAATTCTATTTATTTCTAAATTTAAATAGATTAAAATTTAGAATTATAGTATTTGTACTTTATAAAGAATCCATATTCAAATTTACCATTTTTTAATAAAATATTTTAAATTATACTTATAGATATATATTCATTTTAACAATTTGATATAAGGAAATTCTATTTAACTCACATTTATTTCAAAATTAAATAAAATCTCTTGGATATAAAAAAATCATTGTGACCAAAAATACTCTAATAAGATATACTTTCAAAAAAAAATTAATTTGATTTAACAAAAATTATCAGCAGTTTCACAGTAAATAAAGTTTTTTTAAATAATCTTGTATATCTTCTATTTTCAACAATTTTAAATAACAAATATGACAGATAATAAATTAGAAAATTATTTCAAAAATAAAAAAGGATTTTAATAAAAAATGAATATAAACTTAATAAATTTTAATTTCTAATATTTGAGGTTACTTAATAAAATTTAAAATAATTTTGTAAAAAATTAGAATTTGTTTCAGAAGTTAATTTTTAAAATTAAAACATATTCATCAATTTCATTGACTTATAATAATTGATGCATTTCCAACTGTTATTCTGAGATTGTAATTAATAATTCTTTTTCATATTTAACAGCCTACATAAAAGTTGCAGTAAAAATTAAGGTATTACTTTTATCAGAGCATTAATTTGAAAATGAATACTAATCTGATTAACATTTTTCGCAATTTCTAAAAAAGCTTGTAATATTTAATTTTTCTTTGCATTTTACATAAATTGAAAAGGAAATGTTCGAAATAGTTTCTTTTAGGATGAAATTTGTTTATCCTATTTCTTTAAAGTTTCTTTCTAATTCATCAAAATAGATTTCAAGTGAATTCTCTAAATTCTCTTAAAAGTCATTAAGCTAAGAAATTCTAACCTATGCACATTCTATAGGAGGAACTTATCAATTAAAAAAATATATACGAGGAATGCAACCATCACTTAACAAAACCCATTTTTTTTTACATTTACTACATTAATTCTTTTAATATCCATAGCATTCTGCACAACCTTAAGGGCATTCAGCAGTAAATAAGTCAAATGATTAAAGTCCCCAAAATGCATTCTTTGATATTATTTTTTGAGTTTTCATGGCTAATTTTATTTAAGGTGCGGAATGACTAGCATTTATATCACAGTTAATTATTTTAACTTATTGATAAAAACCACATTCAAAATTTAAATATCCTCCTGTCTTAACTGTGAAATTAGATGCAATTTGATCATCAATTAACAATGTAAATAATTCTTAATTCCAATTTCCAATTACCCATAATTTAAACACTATTTAAACTTCATAGTGTAGATTTAAATTATCTAATGAGATTTCTATTTTTTGTCCTTGAAGTAAAACAGAAGTTCCACCTAAAATTTCAATTCCACCACAAATACTAGATGCAAGAGGTTCATTATTATCAGTAGACCATCCTTCAGAATTAAATGAGGTTTACCAAAATGATGCTAAGTAATTCCAAAATTAGCAATCTGATGTTGAATCTTGACAATATTAACATCCCTCAGGACATGCTAATATTTAGATTTCAAATTTGCAAAACCCCCATGATTCCTAAAATATTATAATATCTACATTAGTAGGATGTTCATCTAAAGAAGCAGCCATCATTACAACAAGTGATTTTGAATGGTGTTGAATAGTAAATGAAATTGGAACAGCAAGATCACCATATCCAGCACCACAAGCATTACCTCCTTCCTAAGGACCAAATGCTCTAATATAAACTTCATTATCAATATTTATTTAGAAATACTGACTGTCCCAGCTATCAATTCTAATTATAAATAAAATAAATTACTTATAAAATATAAGAGAAACTTTAATTGAATAATGAATTGGAAGAGAAAAAAAATATTTAGAAACCATAGTTGAATACCCAAAACTACCATAACCTCCAAATAACTTTTATGAACCACATTAATTAAATTTGTCTCCATAAATATAATTCACAATCCAACCTAAATTTATAAAATCACTAAAACCTTAATCATCCCAATTTTTTTCAGAAAATGCAACATAAACACTTTTCCATGCTTCTTCATCTTGAGCTTTAACAAACAAAAATATAAAGTAGATTATCAAATAAGTTTCTAGCTTCATTTATTTTTAAAATAAAGTTTATTAAATGAAAAATTCTTGGAATTATTCTTTTTATATATATTTAATGTAGGTTAAGTAAATATCAACTTTTAGTAAAGAATATTCAATAAGTTCGTTCATTTAGGCTGAAAGATCAAAAATTCTTGAATAGATGAAACTTACAACTTTATTAGAAGAAAAGATTATTTACATAAAAGATAATTCTAATTCCACTTACTTATAAACTAATACACATTTAAAAATTGTATTAAGCAATAACTATGAATAAAGATTATTCTCTTTTTATAGTAAGATGTGCCAATCAAATTGATGTTATGGATTCAAATAAGAATTTTTACAACTAATTCAAATTCTATATTAAAGACAGAATATATATGCATAAATTTCATGAAGAATTCAAATTATTTTTTATCAAGAAGTTAAGATAGTAATACAATTATACCTTAAACATAAGTAATACATTGAAACATCTATTTGAATGAAGAAAAATAAAATGTAATTAATTATTTATTGAAATATTTTATTTCATTATTTTAATATCTCAAATGATATATATTTTTCTCCTTTATTCTCCCAAATTATTAAATATTACCCATTATTGGTCATAGTTCCATAAACTCTTTCATTTTAAAACTTTATTGTTGTATAAATCTTAAAAGTAGCATCTTTTAATTGCCTAATTAGATAGATATCATATTTATGTCTTACCAATATTAAATTTCTTTCTTGATTATGTATAATTGGGAAATAGCTTTCATCATTACATTGGTTATTCTATATTAATTTTAGAGTTTTGTTTGTATTCTATTAAAAGACTCCATTCTAATTTTCAAAAACAAAAATATCATCTATATCTTTAGATTTAGTGACCCAAATAAACTGATGATCATTAATAAAATGTATTTTATATCCAGGTGAAACATCTTATTTATTTTTAAATTCCAACACTCCTTATGAATTTTTTTTCCAAATTATAAAGTGACTGACTCCACAGGAGGCCAACATAGTTTCAGATTAATTCAAACTAAGTGACTCAACATGATTGGTATGCTTATTTAAAGAATACAGAAAATTCAGTTCATTCTTTATAAAATCTACCTACCAAACTTTTATTGATCTATCATGACTTCCTGAAATAAGCTGATTCTCTTCTTTATTTAAAATTAAACAACGAACTTCATCATTATGTTAATGAAATGGTTCTGAATACTGCCATTCATTTTAATTAATTTATTACCAACAGATGATTGTATTATCTCTTGAACCAGAAATAAAGTTATTATTTTATTTGCTATACACAAAACATAATACATTATCTTAATGGATAGTATATGTATTTTATAATTTTAATCTTCCTTCTACAAAATTCCAAATTTTTATTTGTTCATAATTAGATGATATCATAATTGATCCAGTTTTATCAAACACTATCTAAAAACTATACCCAGCTTATTTATTAGAATCCTCAATTAATTTAAGTTCAATTTAATTATCTTCCATCAATTTTTCATTTCTATTATTTTATTTCAAATCCATTTAATTGACATTATCTAAAACATTCAGTATTTCCTCACATTTTACACTTTCTTCGAATTATTTAAATTAATCTAATTTTTTCATAATCTTTTTTTTCCATGATTAATTAGTTTAAGTGATTTAAACAATAAAAGATTGCTAATTAAATTCACCTAGTTATTTTTCATTAGCTAATTTTTCCAATTCATCAAAGAAACTATAATTGATATTTTAATATCCAATATTTTCGATGTGTTTGATCCATTCTTTTAAATTTCCAATTATTTAATCTAATTATCGAACAACATTTGATTTTAATTAATCAAATTCCTTTTATAGTTAATTTAAGTATTTAGTATTTATCAGTATCGCATTCTCAATAGATTCTTGCTTTAACTTTTAATTATCCATTATGTTTTAAAAAACTTTCTAAAAACTAATTAATTTTGTTTATTAATCTATAGTTTTCATGCATTCAGAGCATAAAAGTCTTTAATTCTTCTTTAGAGATGGATCACAAGAAACCATTTAGATTGGATGCTTATGTTTATATTAGCAAACCAGATCTTCTTCATTTTCTATCATTTTTGATTAAATCATTTATTAATTAATTGATTAATTTATATTTAAACATTGAATTAAGCTCTTGAATTCAAGCCATTCGATTCATTACTATTTAATTTTGAATTTTGAGAAGCCCCATGAGATTCATTTGTAATAAAATAATATTAATTATATTATCAAATAGAGAACTTGTGTATATTATAATTATATTCCTATATTTGTACAAGAGCAAATTAGATTTTAAATTTAAGAGCAATAATTTAATTCTAAGTCAAATGAACTAAGGTTAAGATTATTGATTTTACAAAATTCAACTGATAAATCTAGTGATATGGTAAGATTAAATTAGTGAATCGCATCTTAATGAAATATAAATGAATAGAATAATTGGAGAATATTAAAAAGAGATAGGTACTTGCTTAATTTGGTATTAAAATTGATATAATTTAGAAATTGAAAGAATCATATTATCAGACTTTTATAAATTTGTCATCATTACTCTTTAGAAATCATATATGATTCATTTAATTAACAATTCTTTGGGCTAAATTAGTCACATAATTTACAAGAAATTTTCATTTATTTATTTTAATAGAATTAATTTATTTGAAGTATAAAACTGAGTCAAATCGTACTAATAAAGAAATTTTTATGAATTAGAACAAGTATAAAAGGGATTCATATTACTATTCCTGATAATTTATAAAATGATAAGTATAAATGATATCTCGCAAATTAGAAAAAGAAAAACTAAATGCAAATAAATATTTTTGCTTTTTAGAGTGGAGAAATGAAGCTTGGATAAAATAAAATATTGACTACATCCTTTTGTATTAAATTTAATGCTTAAGAAAGTACAGATCTAATTATCTTATTGATACTTGCTTTTAAGATTTAAATTTTTTATTTAAGAATGGTTTATGAATTACAAAGATGTTGAGAAATTATTAAGGTAGATCTTCTCAAGATATTTTTATGTTATCCATTTATCAAAAATAGCAGTCTTGGTTTAGATATAATTATTATCAAAGGATAAAAATTTCAAATCCTTAATTTATAAGTAATTTATACTGTGCTTAATAAGCTGATTAAGTAGACTAACTATCAAATTTATGTATAAATAATATCCTAAGAGTTTTAAGTGATATCATCGATAATTTGTAATAGTGGAAGAATTAATTTAGATGCAGCAGCCTTTATGCTTAGATGTTTGCAAACTATTCGATTCAATAACATTAAGAACTTTTAAAGATTTTTAGATTAGAACAATTAACAATATATCAAATACATCATATTAATAAAGAAAGAGATAAATTCAATTCTAATTTAGAGTTACTTTTAAATTTTCATTAATTAAAGGATCAAAATTAAATGTTTATGATAATTTAGGATTGGCTTCTGCTTGCATAATTTGACAAACATTAAAATTTTTCTAAAGTTAAATAAATTTAATTAAAATTCATTAGTTCAAAATTCGTTTTTATTTTCTAACTTATTCTTTATTATAAAGCGAATGCTTAAGATGGCATTTACCTATTATAAAATCTATTTATATCTTGGATTTATTCTTAGCTTAATATATTGTTTAATCAAGTGTTATTTATTTAGTCAAGATAGTTTTTCTTTAGATCAAGTTAATATTTAATAAAATATACTATAATAATAATATAATTCAATTTAGTGAGTTGAAAGTCATTGTCAAATTATATTTTTAGGATAAAATAAATCAATTATTACATAAAACAAATAAATCTCAATTTTATTAAAAAAATGATTTAGGAAAATATTTTTTTTTGGATTAATATTAATAATGAATGTGTAATAGCTGATACATGTGATAAATTACCTAAATCATTAAAGCAAGATAAAGATTTCAATGACAACTGATAATGTTTGTATACAATTTAGAAAAGATGGAACTTGTACAATAAAATAGAAGGGTGGTTGTGTAATTAGAACTAGTTGTTCATCAGCAAAAAAAAGGGAGGCTTGATTAAATATGCTGAAGGAATTTCATGTTTTTGGGATGGATAAAATTGTTTAAAAATAAATTTGTTAGATTACAAATTCTGAATGTGAAGAAATTTAAGTAGAAGTGTGTATAAAATAGATCTTATTCAACAGCAAATACTTTAATAGCTTGTTATAAGAATTTAAATAGATATCTATGTATTTGGTATATAGCTAATTATTAATAAATTAAAAAAAAATGAATAGCAATTAATTATTAATTAAGTAATAAATAATTTTAATTATTCAGTTAAAAGTTAAAAGATTGTTATGAAAAAACATGTACAAATGCTACAAGATCATTATTAACTAATGAGGAATTTGAAGCTTATTTTAAGGTGCTAATTGTATTACATAAACTGGAAGGGGATTTGCTATTTAAAATATTTGTAAAGCAAGATATTTATGGAATATAATTTAATTTTAGATAGGGTTAATTTAAATTAAAAAAGAAAATCATGTTGGTATCAAATATAAAAGGATTCATGTAGTAATTCATTAAATAGATAACTTTCTGAAAGCCATACATTAACATAGAATTACTGTTAATCTTTATTCAGATACTTGTATTGCTAATTCAACAAATAAAGAATATATAGAGAAAAGAAATTAAGATACTTTTCTTTAAACAGATTGTATTATTGATGTCTTAAGTAATAAAACATGTTTATGGATTGAAAAATGTTATTAAAAGTGATGGGTCTTAGCTCCAAAGGCAACTACTCATCAAGAATATTAAGCATATCTATCAAGTTGTAATATTAATAGTAATTTTATTGAAAAAAAATTTATTGATAATTTATTGGTAATGTTGCTTATACTTATAATTTATTAACATTCAAAATTNATTAATAATGAATGTGTAATAGCTGATACATGTGATAAATTACCTAAATCATTAAAGCAAGATAAAGATTTCAATGACAACTGATAATGTTTGTATACAATTTAGAAAAGATGGAACTTGTACAATAAAATAGAAGGGTGGTTGTGTAATTAGAACTAGTTGTTCATCAGCAAAAAAAAGGGAGGCTTGATTAAATATGCTGAAGGAATTTCATGTTTTTGGGATGGATAAAATTGTTTAAAAATAAATTTGTTAGATTACAAATTCTGAATGTGAAGAAATTTAAGTAGAAGTGTGTATAAAATAGATCTTATTCAACAGCAAATACTTTAATAGCTTGTTATAAGAATTTAAATAGATATCTATGTATTTGGTATATAGCTAATTATTAATAAATTAAAAAAAAATGAATAGCAATTAATTATTAATTAAGTAATAAATAATTTTAATTATTCAGTTAAAAGTTAAAAGATTGTTATGAAAAAACATGTACAAATGCTACAAGATCATTATTAACTAATGAGGAATTTGAAGCTTATTTTAAGGTGCTAATTGTATTACATAAACTGGAAGGGGATTTGCTATTTAAAATATTTGTAAAGCAAGATATTTATGGAATATAATTTAATTTTAGATAGGGTTAATTTAAATTAAAAAAGAAAATCATGTTGGTATCAAATATAAAAGGATTCATGTAGTAATTCATTAAATAGATAACTTTCTGAAAGCCATACATTAACATAGAATTACTGTTAATCTTTATTCAGATACTTGTATTGCTAATTCAACAAATAAAGAATATATAGAGAAAAGAAATTAAGATACTTTTCTTTAAACAGATTGTATTATTGATGTCTTAAGTAATAAAACATGTTTATGGATTGAAAAATGTTATTAAAAGTGATGGGTCTTAGCTCCAAAGGCAACTACTCATCAAGAATATTAAGCATATCTATCAAGTTGTAATATTAATAGTAATTTTATTGAAAAAAAATTTATTGATAATTTATTGGTAATGTTGCTTATACTTATAATTTATTAACATTCAAAATTTTTTTATTAAATTTAAAATCATATTTTTATTATTTATCATCAAATTATTATAATTAAAAATCATAATATTATTATTTACTATAAAATTATTATAAATAAAGATTTATCATTTAATGTCTTTTTATTATTTTAAATCCTTTCAATTATTACAAATTATTATTATTTACTTGATAAATAAATTTATATATCAAAGAAATTTAAAGTATAAGACAAATAGAGATTAAATGTCATTAAAAAATTTACAGAAATAATTTATTTTAGATAAATTAATTTCAAATTTCAAAAAACAAACCAATAAATATTTACATTCGTGTAAAATACAAAAAATTAATCAAAAACATAATTTAAAATATTTTCAAACAATAAATTTTCTGTCCTTGTATTTGCACCTTTATCTATTATTTTTTAATCAATAACAAATACAAATTCATGTATAAAAACTCAAATAGATAATTTTGTGGATTGGATGGTTATCAATGTATAGATAAGAGTTGTTCAAAAAGAATGCTCAATTTATTAAAGTAATTAAAAATGTTAAATTATTAGCAAAGTTGGTGGTTAAGGTTGCATAAAAAAATAAATACATTGTTCAAATTTTAAGAGATCAGGATAATGTCATAAAACTATATTAAATTAAACAACAAAGGATGATTGTAAATGGATTATAGATAAATGTTATTGAATACAATAATTAATATCATAACCCTGTTCAATGTTAAAAGGATCTATATAAATGTTTAAAAGCTTAATGATTGTTATACAAATACAGAATCAGCTAATAGTTTAACTCCTTGTTTTGTAGATTAGTAATTATATAGGATCAAAATTAAATTATGAAGATTGTTAATAATTAAATATATCATATTCTAGAAAATAGATGGAACTGGATATGAACATATATACGACTTGTTAAGCATATGAATCATAATCAATCTTTGAGTAATTAATACTGTTACTCCACCTTACTGTTTAACTTTAAAATAGGTATCTGAATGAAAAAACGTTAAGCTATTGTTCTTTGTGGACTGTAATCTAATTCAGGTGATTAATAAAGTTCTAAAAATTTAAAATAAGGTAAATTTTATTATTAAATTAAAATATTTAAAGTAAATAATAACTAATAATTAATTGAAATTCTCAATTAATCAATACTTTGATAGCACTTAATGTATTTGTTGGTTGAGGTGTTCTTCTATAATTGAAGTTAAAAATAAAAATATTTATCTTATGATGTACATCAAATGCTAATGGAACTGCTTGTTAATTCAAATAAACTAGATGTGACCTTTATTTTACTAAACTCTTGTTCTTTTTGTAAAGCAACAAGAAATATTTTTATTTTATTTTATCTTAAAATAAATTATTCTTCTAAAAAAATTAAATAATTAATATTAAAATTTTATAATAACTTTTGATAAAAATATGTATACTTTCAAAAATTATAATTAATATATTTTAAACATTAATGTTTT